GGGGAGAACAGATACCTGAACAATATTGTATCTTCTAAACCATGAACATAGTATCTCTCACCATTTGTATGTTTTTCTTTCTTTCATTTTCAATTTTCAATCATTCATTGATTAAACATAGGAATGAAATTCATTTTTGAATAGATTTGCATACCGCAACTCTACTAAATTCACTTACAAGTTCTAGTTACTTTAAAAAATATTTTGGGGGGGTTTCTCCATAAACAATCCTGTTGCCTGTGAGTGGAGACAGTTTTCTTTCTTTCTTTCCAATCTGTATGCTTTTCTTATTTTTTTTAATTGCCCTAAAACCTGCACTATGATATTGAATAAAAGCAGTGAGCTTGGACAACCTTGCCTTGTTCCCAGTCTTAGGAGAAAAGTAATCAGTCTTTCACCATTAGTTATGATGTTTGGTGTAGATTTTTTTCCAGATGCCTTTTATCAGCTTGAAAAATTTGTGTTTTATTCTTAGTTTACTGAGGACTTTTATCGTAAATGTTGAATTGTCATATGCTTTTTCCACTTCTGTTAAGATAAACATGGTTTTCTTCCTTAGTCTGTATTTCTTCAGTCTGTTTCTTATTTAATCACTGTTTACATTGACTTTCAAATTTTGAATCAATCTCAAATTCCCAGGATAACTCAAATCAATAATAAGTGCTGAGGATATCTGTATCAAGCTGATAAATAATATTGCTATGCAGTCTTCCTGGACTGTCTTTGTTGGATTTGGGTATTAGGGTAATTCTGCTCCCTCTTCTAGCTTTTGGAAAAGTTTGTGCAGAACTGTCATTATGTTTTCCTTAAACATTGGTAGACTTCACAGTGATGGCATCTGGGGCTAGAGTTTACTTTGTTGATTCTTAACTATTAATTACATTTAAGTGATTTATGACTATTCAGGTTATCTATTTTCTCGAGTGAGCTTTCATAGTGTCCCTTATTCTTAAGTCTACTGTGCCTAATATTCTAGACACTCTTCTTTTCTTTTGATTAATCTTTACATTGTATATCTTTTCTATATTTTATTTTAACCTATTTATCTTTATATTTAAAATGGATTTTCTTTAGACAGTATATAATTGAGTCTTATTTTTTTACTCATTCTGATGTTTTAATTAGCATATTTTGGACACTTACATTCATTGTAATTATCAATGTTTGGATTTTAAAAATCTGCCATCTGTTTTCTATTTGTTCTACTTGTTATTTGTTTCCTTTATACTTCTATTTCTCCTTGCTTTGGACTAAGTATATATGATTATATTTTATCTCCACTAGTGGCTTATTATTAAACTATTTTTTAAAAAATTAGTTGTTTGAAATTTACAGTGTTTGGTTTTAATTAATCACAATGGTCTTTCAAATAATATACTATTTCTAGCATAGGGTAAGAACCTTACAATTGTATGCCCCTCATACTTTGTGTTATTGTTGGCATATATTTTACTTTTATATATAAATCCCCAGTATATTGCTATTACTTTGTATTTAGATAACTGATTGCTTTTTATAGTGATCAAAAATACTATTAATTTGAATTCTTTTCAGAGATCTTCATTGTTTTGGATAGATCAAAGTTCTATCTGGTATTCCTTCTGCCTAAAGAATTTCCTATAGTGTACTGTAATATAGTTTGATATTAATGAATTCTCTCAGCTTTGGTCTGAAAAAAAATTGTTCCTTTTGAATGTTATTTTCATTGGTATAGAACTCTGGGATCTACAGTTGCTTCTTAATTTCATTATCTTAAAGATGTTTCTGCATTGTCTTATGACTTACACAGTGGGTCTGTATGTGACATACAGATCTGTATTTAAGTCATATTCTTATTTTTGTTGTATTTAATGTGAATTTTTCCACTTACTACCTCAAGACTTTCTCATTTTTGTTTTTCCATTGGTTTTAATATTATATAACTAGGTTTTTAAAATCCTGCTTGAGGCTTTCTGAGCTTTGTAAATTCCCTAGTTTAATACCTTTTGTTTTATTTAGAGACTTCTTAGCAGTTATTTCTTTAAATATTTTGTCTGTCCCAATAGTCCCCCTCTTCTTATTATGTCTATTCATCCCTTGTGTGTGTGTCTGTGTGTTTAACTCTTCATTCTGTTTGTGCTCTAATTTGGGTAACTCCTGTTTACCTGTCTTCAAGCTCAATTCTTTCTTCATTTGTGTCATTTACTGATGAGCCCAAAGGCATTTTTTCATCTGTTACTGTGTTTTTTTTAAATTTCTAGCATTTCTATTTTACATGTTCTTATGGTTTCTGTCTCTTTGAGAAGTTCCTCATTTAATGAAGCATGTTGTCTACCTTCTCCATTAGACCCTTTAACATATTAATTATAGCCACTTTAAAATTACTTATCTGACAGTACCAACATCTGAGTCATCTCTGTCTAGTTCTTTTGAATGCTTTGTCTCTTGATAAGGGGTTGATTTTCTTGCTTTTTATGTCCTATTATTTTTAAACTAAATACTGGCTATTGTGAGCAGGAGAGTAGGAATGGAGATAAATAGCATTTATGGCTAAATATGGGCATGCCTCTTCTTTTTCTAGAACTTAATGTGCAGGCTTGAGTTGAGCTGGCCAGGAGTTATCTTGTTTAGGTATTGTTGTTATGGTTACCTTCATGTATTACTGCCTTCAAATGCCTCTTGTAGTACCTTGTGCTTAAGTTGCAAAAACAGATAAGTCAGTCAATGGAACAGAACAGAACACTCAGGAACAGCCAGATAGAAACATGGACATTACAATAAAGGTGGTACTGCAAAATGTCGGAGAAAACAGGTCCAGTGGTACTGAGACAATGAGATAGCCACAAAGAGAAAAACAGAAACTTAAAGCTTACCTCGCCTAATAACCAATGAATAATTCCAGCTAGATTGTAAACTAAATGTAAAAGGCAAAACAATTCTAAAACTTCTAGAAGTTAATATGGAACAATCTCGTCATGCTTTAAACACTGCACAAAAATCAATAATTATAAAAGTAAAAAATGATAAATTTGAGTACATTAAAATTAAGATCCTTTGTTTATCAAAAGACACTATTAAGCCAGTGAAAAACAAGTCACAGAGTGGAAAAGATATCTGCAACACAAAGAACTGACGGGATTCGTATTAAGAATATAAAAATATACATATTCTCTAACAACATGATAGAAAAATGGGTTAGAGATTTGACTTGGCACTACACAAAAAAGGATATCTAATTAGCCAATAAATATAAGTAAAAGTGCTCGAATTCATTTGTAATCAGGAGATGCAAGTGAAAACCACAATGCGATATCACTAAGCAACTCCCTGTAAGTTCATTCCCAGAAATAACTCAGCAGAAATTCAAGCACATAAACACAAGGAAAATATGTACAAAAATGTTCAGAGCAGCATTATTTGTAATAGCAAACCATTAAAATCAATCCAAACATCCATCTACAGTGGAATGGACAAGTTGTGTGTGCAAACAATGGAACATTCTGCAGGGAAGAGTAGGAACAAATCACATCTAATGCAAAAGTGGACATGGATCTCAAACATGGAAAAGTGATCAATATGGAACCAAACAGACGCAGTTAATATAGAGCAAAATACTATATAATTCCATTTAATATACATCTGAAAATATTGGCAAAACTGTAATGTTTAAGGGCACAAGCTTAGGTGTTCAAACCTCAGTATGTGATGAATTTTGTAAGGGGAGGAGAAGGAGTGATTGTGAAGGAAAACACAGGGGCTTCTGAGGTGCTGGCAGTGCTCCACTTCTTCACTTGGTTGGTAGTTACATGGGTGTTCACTTTGTAGATAATTAATTGACCTATATATTTGTCTTCTGTGCTTTTTATTATATATGTATATACTTCATAATCACCTCACACCACATCCCTCCAAATTATCTTCTGGTCATTGATGAACTTATTTTTTACTGGATATACCTCAAATACACTGAACTCTAATATGCTCTTTGAAGTTTATGAGATTCTAGAAAGATATTTTGTGTTTTCATGGCATGTGGTTGCAGGATATCTTCCTCTGTTTAGAACTGAGAGACACAGAATTCAGACAAAGGTAAAAAAAAAAAGCTTTATTATTGATAAATAGCTGGAACAGAAGATATGTGACCACATGGGTTACCAAATACCCTACCCCTAAATTAGATGAATGACTTGCCCACCCAAGTCTGAGGCAGAGGTGCAATTTAGGTTTCCCTGTAGGTTTCCTCAGAAAGCTTGGGATTTGGCTGAAATTGAGGAAATGCAGATGGGAAGAAATTTACCCAGAAAATGAGTCACTCCTCCTTTCCTGGAATGGAGTGAGTTGGGGAGTTTGCCTTTCCTTCCTGGATAGTGAAGTGGAAATTCTCCATACTCCATGGAAATATGAAGAATGAGCAATAAATATTACCCTTAACAACAGGCAGATTAGCTTTGCTTACTAGTTTGTCTTTGAAGTCAGCTCTCTGAAACTTAGCAAAGGCTGCCATGGGCAAAATTTTAGGATAAATTTCATTCTTGGTCTTACAGCAACTTGTCCTTCCTCCACTCCTGAACTCTTATATGTGCTAACCCCCATTTTTGCAGTGGCTTTCCTGGAAGCCACTGCAGAAACCAGTGATGAGGAAGAAGGAGAGGAGAACAGGTGATTATATATGTGGATCTTCTCTAAGTCACGTATTTATGAGTAAAGACTGTCTTTCCCATTCCCCAAAAGATGTATTAAATTATGGCTCACAACTTTAAGGGCTTCTAAAGCTTATTTAAATCATTCTTTTTCCAGGTAAAGTTAAGCTTGGTTCAAATACTTGCTTTTTTTGTAAGAAGTGCTCTATATTGGCTTCCCTCCCCCCAAAAATAAAAACACAAAAAACTTAAAGTGATTACTTCCTTCTTGGAGTGATGAATAATGATTACTGTGTGTCCACAAATACTTCTATTTGTGATTTTAATTAGCATGGGTAATTTGTTCCAGGACATTCAGTTCAGACACAGAAGCATATGTTATTTATTTTTATTAAACTTCATTTTTATTTTTAAATAATTGTGGATTCACATACAATTATAAAAAATTAATACAGAGAGTTTCATTCCATTGTGCCCTTTACCCAATTTCCTCTAATGGCACATCTTGCAAAACTACAGAACACACCACAACCAAGGTACTGACGCCGATACAGTCTTTACCTCGTCATGAGGATCCCCGCTGTTGCCCTTTTATAGACACACACAATCCCCAACTACCCAACCCCTTCCGTAGCCCCCGGAAACCACTAATTTGTTCTCCATTTCTACAATTTTGTCATTTCAAGAATGTTATATAATGGAATCATGATACATTAACTTTTTGGGATTCACTTTTTTATTCACTATAATTCTCTGGAATTTATTCAGGTTGTAGCACATATCCAAGCTTGTTCTTTCTTATTGCTGAGTAGTATTCCACAGTATGGATATATCACAGTTTGTTTAACCATTTACCCACTAAAAAAACTCTGCATTGTTTTGTCTATTACAAATAAAACTGCTATAAATAACCATGTGAACATAAGTGTGGGAAAACATGTTTAGAATGACATGTAACTCTTTGCCTAATTTTCTGGCTGCTTAACTATAGAGCAAAGGATGTCAAGGCAGTTGCCAAAGGTCATAGAGCACTTATGTGTATGAGGGTTAACTAATGATTCATCAGTATTTGCAGCCTCACAACTATCTTGCTACGTGACCTAAGGACACCCCCCTCTCTCCGAGCCTCAACTAGGTAAGATATGTTTTTCAAAGTATATTCTTTGAAAATGAACTCCTTCTAAAAGGTGGGGGTAGGGATAGGGAGTTTCATGGTCAAGTTTGAGATAAAATGCTGAATACTATATCCCCCTTTTGACATAAACAAATGCCCCCTGTTGTACAAAAGGAGGGATCCAGTATCCAACTGCCCAGGTTTAAAGCCTAGCTCCATCTTGCTAAAATAGTAACCCTCGCTCAGTAAGACACTTAACTTGCCTATAACTCAGTTTTCTCATCTGTAAAATGAAGATAGCAACAGCACCCCACTCATACAATTGGAAGATTAACTATAAGGACACAAGAAAACACTTGATAAATGTTAGCTCTTATTACTATTATTGCCATCCTAAGATTTATCCACATCATTAGGACCTTGTTAAAAACATACATGTCCAGACTCTATCTCCAGAGATTCAGATTCATTAAGTCTAGGGTGGAGTCTGGTCCAGATAAGGGACACAGGTTTAGTTTATGTTAAGAATGTGTTCAGAATAGTATCAGAGGCAGGATTCAAACCCCAGCTCCAAATTGCCTGATGGAGGGGCATCACACTTACGTTCTTACACAAATTTAGTAAATTCTTTAAATGAATAGCTCTGTAGTTCTGCAAAAAGAGTACATTTCTCTGCTGAAATGAAAGTTGGGCTTCCAATATAAACTAATGATTCTTCAAAGGGTAGTTCAATAAAATAAAATGCAGTTCTGTGCAGTAGGTACACATCAGCTTTCAAAAACCTCCTAAATGTAGCAGTTAGCATTGATAGGTAAAAACTTTATTTGTGAGTCATTGCTTAGCAAATCAAATCTGAAAATAAGACATTATTTCCTTAGAAATACAACAAAACAACTATGATTGCTATTATTTCTGTAGGTTTTACCACCCCACTGCTGATTTCCAAAGGTCTTCCTGTTGCCATGCAGCAGGTAAGTCTGCAGGACACTGGGGAATCACTGCAGAGGCGGTGGCAATCTTCTCACCACTTCTACAGCCACTCTCAGGTAAGCTTTGGCCTGGAAAAGAACAGTAGGTTTGTCCTATAGTTCTCCCTAGTGCACATCAAATGACTCATGAACTGTTTGCCATAGTTGTCCACTGAATTTAATAGTCAAAAGGCCAATTGAGGTGAAAAAATTCAGGAGTCAGAAGATACTGCTGTATACATTGCAGGTAGGGCAAGAAGAAAGAATTTTTGATTATTTGGACTTTCTGAAGAAAGTATTTAGTAGTAGCAATTACTGTTTTTCAAAGTCTAATTCCCATGTCAGCAAACTAGCAACCTAGTCTAACAGCAGAAAAATTACACCTTCCTCTTCTGACAAAATAATATTCTGAGTTAGATACTGCCAACACTCCTTTGGCATAGAACTATTAGAGAAGTTCTATGCCAAAGAAGTTTTCAAATAGTCTTCTTCATTTTAAAGAAGACTATTATTTACCACCCTGCAGTTTGTGTTTGGGAAGCATTTTCTTTGCTCTCTCTGAGAATGGCACCTAATACCAGCACCAAGCACTTGGCGCCTCTTTCGCCTGGCGAGTTTTGGGGACTGTGGGGTCAGTCGCTGCCCTCTTCATCTCTGGCACGCCCAGTGCAGTGAAACAGTGAGAGCAGGCCCCAGGGCGCCAAGTGGGCCACAGGCTAACCCAACACCCACAGCCTAGTTAGGACAATGGTCATTATATTTGTATTTTAAGAGTTTCAAACAAATGTAATGTAAATACTACCTATTTCTTCTATTTTATCTATAAAAGTAATTTTAAGATACAACAGTAAGACTTTTTAAAACCATTAATTTTACATTTCTATACTTAGATTTGAGTATATGCTACTACTAATAATAGCTAACACTTAAGTACTTAATATTTGCCTAGTATTATTTCATTTTTCTTTACAGCTACCCTAAGTGATAAATTCTGTCATTATCCTCAATTTATTGATGAGAAAACCAAAACCCAGAAAGGTGAAGCATCTTGTCAAAAGCTTTACAGCTAGTATGAGATGAGCTGTTCAACTTCTTGACTCTGCATGGTAAAGATCTGTTCCCCCTGACTTGATGAAATGCTTTAAGTGTGTCTCACACATCTTCAGTAAAAAACCAAAAAGAAAAAACTATGCTAGACCCCTGGCCAGGTGGCTCAGTTGGTTGGAGCATCATCCCGTACACCAAAAGTGGGTTCGATTCCCGGTCAGGGTACATATCAGGTTGTAAGGTTTGATCCTAGCCAGGGCACATGAGGGAGGCAGCTAATCAATGTTTCGCTCTCACATCGATGGTGCTCTCTCTCTCTTTCCATCTTCCTTCCTCTCTCTCTAAAAATCAATAAGAAGAAAATATATCTTCAGGTGAGGACAAAAAAAAAACTGTGCTTGAACCCTAACATATGAATTATGCTTTATTTTACCAGAAAAGTATCAAATTTTCATTTGAGTTCATTTTTTTTTTTAAAAAAAGCTCTCACAACACAGATAAGGACTTTTTTTTAAATGAGCATCACAAAGGACTTCACAAGAGTTACCCTACTTGTGTAAGCCTCGTGGGCTCAGCCAGGATGAAGGACTGGCCATTGCTGCTCATGGTCACAAAGTCAGTGGGCTGGAAAACATTCTAATCTGGGTCCAGCTGACTCCAAATAGGGCTCCTTCTACTACATCACATATGAAACAGTAAATCCACATACAAGTAATTATAATTGTAATGCTTTGTCTAAAATTGGTTTTAGTCCCTGTAATAGTTAATAGAAACAATAAAGTTGTTTAAAAATGGAAATAGCATGGATTTTATAAATAAATATTTCCCTTAAATCTAATATGCTGATTTTCAGCTGTGCATCGTTATGAATGTCTTTTTAATCTCCTAGAGTCTTTTCTAGGTATTTAAGCCTAATACTTTCTGAGGAAATTTAAAGTTCACTAAGGCAAGCTGAGACAAGGTCATCATCTATAATCTTTTATTCATACTGATGTTAAATTAGAGACATACCTATCAGATGACACATAATACTGAATGACTCCAGGATAAACAGATGTGCTATATGTAACCTTTGCTTTTTAGTGGACAATTTCCAAGCTTAAACTTCTAATATCTGACACTCAAAGTAATGCTTAAATTATCGTTTGCTGAGAAACCACTAAAAGTGCTTAGCTTAACAGTTCAATTTCTACAAAACTGTTGAGATTGAATTTTTTAAGCCAAAGCAGTATCATTTCAAAAAACACATTTTTTTTTTTTGTTTTGTTTTGTGTGTGTGTATGTGTGTAAGGCACTGTTTGGGGAAATCTGTGAGATGTAATGATATGAAAGATCATTGGTAAAGAGCTGGAACCTTCAAGTCAGACAGGCATGGTTTAAAATCTTAGCTCTACTATATACTTACTAGCCCTAAGACCCTGGGCAAGTTACTTATCCCTTCTAGACTCAGTTTCCACATCTGTAAATTGGCTATAACAATAGTATCTACCTCAGAGGATTTGGAGGAATATTAAATAAGAATAAAATATGTGAAGAACTCCCTGGTTGGTGTGGCTCAGTGGATTGAGCACTGGCCTGTGAACCAAAGGATTGCTGGTTCGATTCCCAGTCAGGGCACATGCCAGGGTTGCCCAATGAGGGGCACATGAGAGGCAACCACACATTGATGTTTTTCTCCCTCTCTTTCTCCTTCATTTCCCCTCTCTCTAAAAACAAACAAACATACAAACAAACAAATAAATAAGATCTTTTTAGAAATGACCAAAAAATTGAAAGAAATATGTGAAGTACTGGCACAGAAGAAGCATATAATAAATATTAGTGGCTATTATTACTATTCTGTCCTAAAGTAATTTACTATCTCATGGAAGGACTCACATTAACATGTTCTTTTGGATACTCTTCCCTATTGAGGAATAAGTAATTAAATCCCTCCCTTTAGTTTGATCCATAACTAGCAAAAGCACCCACATACACATTACATATAAAAATATGATTTATTGATTAGATTTCTCAAACTATTAATACTCTTTTTCTCATCAACTCAACTCTACACAGACTAACCCTTCTCACCTATTCAAAGTCTTTTATTGGGCTGTCGTGAGGCAGAGGTAGTAACAGCTGGATCTTATTTGTCTGCTCTATCATTGACAAGGAAATGGATGGCAACCAAAGTACAAGGAGTTTTATAAAGAGCTTTGATCCTTTGTCTTTTATTTTAAAGATTTAAAGTTCTAATTTATCATACATAGTTGTTTCATATTAAGACTATGAGGCAATAACTTAGAAATTATAAGATGACACATTTTCCATTTATATTTGAAAGTCTTTATCCAGGACTATATTATAGCACACCTCACTAAATCAAATCTAGCTTTAACTACAAAAGGTTAGGCTGTTCACATTCCCATAAATGTCACCCAACAATAGTAAAATATTGGGTCTATCTCTGGTTGGTGTGGCTCAGTGGATTGAGCACCGGCCTATGAACTAAAAGGTTGCCAGTTTGATTCCCAATCAGGGCACATGCCTGGGATGTGGGCCAGCAGGTGTGTGAGAGGCAACCAATTGGTGATTCTCTCACACACTGCTGTTTCTCTCCCTCTCTTTCTCCCTCCCTTCTTCTCTCTCTAAAAATAAATGAATAAAATCTTTTAAAAAACCAACAGTTCTAATATTAATGCAGAGCAGATTAAAAAATATGTAACTACAAAAACCTCCACAAACACTGCTGTTTCAGAGTTTAAAATCATATTATCTTTTGATAGTTGCTATATATTCTTTCTTACATTACATTCCTTTTACTTGCTCAAAATCTTCCTTGCTTTTGGAAAATCTCAAAGGAAAAAAAGCATAGAAAAATATTTTAAAAATTAGATTCAAATGAAATACACTAGTAAGTAATTAATCTTATTCATCACAATCACCTTAGAATGGCTTTAAATAGTCTGTTCTCAGGAGGCATTTAAAAGTGTGTAATTTTTAAAAACTCTCAATTTTCATACAACTTTTCATTTACTGCATAAAGTACACTTGTTGTAGTTTGGTTTGCCAGACTTTAATTATGAAAGAAATAAAGGGTTATGGTTTTTGCTTATATGAAAGATTTCTAAGTAAATACAGAAAAGGAAATTTAACATTTATTACCTGACAGAGAAAAGAAAAACAATGATAAGTGCTACACTATATTTACTCAGAGATCATATTCCCAGCAACTCAATCACCTGTGCTGTCACTGTCAACCCTTCAGAAAGGGAAAGGAGCTCTGGACCTCTGAAAGAGACAACTCAAAATAAATCTACTTTATTTGTCCTAGACTCCTGACTTTCAATTTACTTTTACTTTATCCACAACTCTAACCAGTCTTGGCTCTCTTATTTTCCAGTTCACACAAGATTAGAGGAAGCAAACTAGAATGAAAGAGGTAGTAGCTACGGATGGACAAAATAGTGGTACTTTATAAAGAACCACAAAGGACCCTGAATAGACAAAGCAATCTTGAGAAAGAAGAACAAAGTTGGAGGTATTATACTCCCTGATTTCAAACTATACTATAAAGCTATAGTAATCAAAACAGTATGGTACTGGCACAAAAAACAAACATATAGATCAATGAAACAGAATACAGAGACCTGTAATAAACCCACATTTATATGGTCAATTAATCTATGACAGAGGAAGCAAGAACAGCATGGGTGGACCTGGAGAACATTATGCTAAGTGAAATAAGCCAGTCAGAGAAAGACAAGTATCACATGATTTCATTCATTTGTGGAATCTAATGAATAAACCAAGCTAACAAACAAAATAGAGACAGACTCATAGATAAAGAGCAGGATGACAGCTAATGCGGGGGGTAGTTTAGGGGATACAGGGATCAAGCAAAAAGGTAAAAGGACTCATGATGAACATAGACAACAGTGTGGTGATTGTAGGGGGGAAGGGGTATAAGGGGTTTAAATGGCAATGGAAAAAAATACAATAAAAAAAAGAATATACAATGGGGAAAAGATAGTCACTTCAATGAATGGTGATGGGAAAGCTGGACAGATACATGGAAGGAAAGAAAGAAGGAAAGAAGGAAAGAAGGAAAGAAAGAAAGAAAGAAAGAGAAAGAAAGAAACAAAGAAAGAAAGAAAGAAAGAGAAAGAAAGAAAGAAAGAGAAACTAGACCACTCTCTTATGTCACATACAAAACAAGCTCAAATGGATTAAAGACTTAAATGTAAGACCTGAATCTATAAAACTCCTAGAAGAAAACATAGGCACTAAACTCTTTGACATAGGCCTTAGCAATATATTTTTGGGTATGTCTCCTCAGGCAAGAGCAATAAAAGCAAAAATAAGCAAATGGGCTACATCAAGCTAAAAAGCTTTTGCACAGCAAAGGAAACCATAAACGAAAAGAAAATCTACTGAATTGAAGATATTTACAAATGATATATCTGATAAGGGGTTAATGTCCAAAATACATAAAGAACTCATAAAATTCAACATCAAAACAATAAATAACCCAATTTAAAAATGGGCAGATGGTCTGAATAGACATTTCTCCAAAGAGACATACAGAAGGTCAATAGACATATGAAAACATGCTCAACATCACTAACATCAGGGAACTACAAATCAAAACCACACTGAGATATTACCTCACACACCCTGTCAGAATGGCTTCATCAAAAGACAACAAATAGCAAGTGTTGGTGAGGATGTGGAAAAAAGGAAGCCCCATACATTGTTGGTGGGATTATATTTGGTGTAGCCACTATGGAAAATAGAATGCAGGTTCCTCAAAAAATTAAAAATTGAACTACCATTAGAAACCAGCAATTCCACTTTTGGCCATTTACCTGTTGAAATAAAAAATACTAATTTGAAGTGATATATGTACCCTTATGTCCTTTGCAGCATTATTTACAACAGCCAAGATATGGAAGTAACCTAGGTATCTATCGACAGATAAATGGATAAAGAAGATGTGACTATATATATATATATATATATATATGAATATATAACATATATATAATGAAATATTATTATTCAGCCATAAAAAGAATGAAAATCTTGCCATTTGTGAAAACATGAATGGGCCTAAACAGTATTATGCTAAAATAGTGAGACAGAGAAAGACAAATACCATATGATTTCACTTACATGTGGAATCTGAATGTCAAAACAAATGAGCAAGCAAAACAAATAGAAACAGATTCACAGATACAGAGAACAAACTGGTAAATGCCAGAGGGAAGAGGCGTGGGGTGATGGACAAAAAGGTGAAGGGGATGAAGTAGTACAAATTTCCGGTTATAAATAAATAAGTCACAGCATGTAACATGCAGCATGGGGAATCTAGTCAATAATATTGTGATAACCTTGAATGGTAACTGAAGGGTACTAGAATTGCTGTGGTGATCACTTCACATGTTATATAGATGTTGAATCACTATGCTGTGCACTTGAAACTAATATAATATTGTATGTTAACTATAATTTTAAAAAGAGACAAAAGCAAACTAACAGTATTATAAAGCTATATTCATTAGCTAAAAACAACCAGAGAGAAACTCTCAGAAGAATGATTGGGACTGTTCAGCAAATGAGCACAAAAACCACATCAAAACTGATGTACCAGTCAATGGCTCGGTTTCGAACTTGAATAACAAGTGCTACTTAGGAAAAAGATATATATGATTGATTTTACTTCTATTTTATAAAAAGAGTACAACAGAAATATTTTAGGCTTAAAGTTGTAAAGCTTCATAACTTGAAAATTTATCAATGGTACCTCTAATGAAACACTACTAGTTTTTCCATCTTACTTCCTCAATCACATTTATTAAATGAAATGCAATGGAAATTCCATCTCTAATGGTTTATACATCTCCCCTATATCCAACTCACTTTTTTTTTTACATTAGGTTTTCTTCTTCCAACAACCAGCTGGACTGAGACATAATCAAACCTCAGTTCTTGAATGTCTTGGTTCTTGAACAATTCAGTTGTCAGTTCTCTATCCAACAACCCCTTCACAGTGATACCTGTATGGTCAGTCATGTGTGTTACAGGCAACAAACGAAGGAGATTTGGTTTTCAAACAAACTGCTCCTCTAACAGTTTTTTCCAGGACAAATTAAGTTTGAGAACCAAAATTCCTAATAACTTTGGGCAAATAAATATTGATAGCCAGCAAGACAAGAATTCCATGAGTTCTCAGTGTTCATGCTTTTTTATGAGAATACTGGTTAGATGATGATTCTTTGTAGGTGAACTTGTTCAGGTGATAATTCAGGGCCAGCCCTGGTATGCCTACCACATAAAATAGTAACAAACTGACGGGAGTCAGAGAGGAGAGGGGACTGGATAAAAGGTGAAAAGATTAGCTAAAGAACACAGCACATAGCCCATGGACACAGACAGCCTCGTGGTGAAGGTCAGAGGAAGACGGGGAGCTGGATGAAGGTGGGGAAAGAGGTGGGGAAATAGGGAACATTTGTAATAATGTCAATAATATAAACAAACAAACAAAATAAATAAAATAGTACCTGAAAATGCTTTGTATAAGTTAATATAAGTATATATTAAAAAGTGCTTTGTTTAATATATACATTACAAATAGATAAGCTTGATCTTCCCAAACTCCTTTCTATATATCAAAAAGTATATATCCTGGAAAAAGAAATTAAAATGCATATTTAAAAATATCACTTACCTCATCACTTTCAGGCTGTGAAAATACAATTGGCTGGCCTGTGTCTGAAGCTTCCCTTATATTAAGATGTAGGGGAATGTCTCCTAAAAAAGCCCATCAGATGTCCATTAGCATGACAAAACTTTATACTGGCATTTGGAATTTCACTACTTGAACTTCAGAAAGAAACAACATCTAAACTAAATTGATTCAAATCAACTTGAGTTATGATTATCCTAAAATTGCTAAATCTCTGAAAAAAAAAGGAATTTTAAATGAAAATTAGGAGCAAAATATTCCATTTGAGTGTTGTGTGATGATATATATATAAGAACTATGAGTCAGTCCCTCACAGGATAAAGCCTCTGATTTAGTCTTTGCTGGAGATCTCCCAGCAAGAAATGGCTAAGACATCTGTAAATTATTTTTACCTGTAATACCTGATATAGACACATCATACCACATAATAAGAGGAAACTGAAGAGGAAGAGATGGAGAGGCAAAGTAGTAAAAAAAAAAAAAAAGTACAACAACATAATCTTCCTCATGCTGGCAGGTGAGTAAGCCAGAGAACTGTTGAAAAGTAGGCCAGACCTGTTATCTCAACTTTCTGCTTCTTTATCAGACAGGATAACTTTTATTATACATTAATCTTTATAGCATTATAACTTGTGACTCTGGTGAGATCTTGGGATGTATAAAATAAGAATCTCCAATATACAGACTTGGGTTTGAGAGGATATGTGCCTTTCCTGATGCTATATTACTATCAGGTAGTATAATTTAGGGGAAAATGCTCTGATTCACCATCCTATTGACTTTTCCCACCATGTCATCATAAGTAAAGCCTTTCAAAAGGCTGAAATTTAAAATGCTGTAAATGCAGTCTTAAGTAGAAGAGTTGACTTGTGATCCTCAGCATTCTTAGTGCCACTCCAAGTCCAAGAAAGGTTATTGAAACATGCATGTGTGCGTTTTATATAAACAAGTAATTCAGCACCATGCTAAGCAATGTAAATAATGCAGAAGTATATGTTACAAAATTATAAACCTACTATAATTTATATTATGAAATACATGAAGGAATAGATATTTTACATTATGTCAGCAAATTGTGAAACCTTAACCAACTCCTTAAGTCTTTCCAAAATGTTCAATAGACAAATGACAAAATACATGAATAGTTCAGTAACCTTTTAAAGATTACCTTTTCAGCAAATCTGATGTCTGTTCTACAGAACAACTTAAGAATGTAGGGAGCTGTCACATAGGGCAGGCAGGGGAATATGCTATAAAAAAGACTTAGAAACTCATAAAGTTTTTTTTCTTGATTTATGAACTGCCCTCATAATGGGAAAAAGTGAAACCTTCTCTTTTATACAGCTACCTGTTGACATCATTTTTGCCCTCCAGAAATTTATAATCCTGCCATCAGCACAGAAGTGCAGACCAAAAAACCACATACACACACAAAAACCTTGTTAGAAAATAGATGGCATAGTGAGAGCCATCTATTTTGAGCCATCAGCCTGGCCTCAAAAACTGTCTGCGATGGGCGAGAAGTCTGAGGGCAAGGAGGGCTCGAGTTTCAGACTCAAGGTGAAGGGGTCTCTGTGAGATGACCTGGGACCTTAACTTCCATGCCCTGTCCCTGTAGATAAATATGGATAAAGTTCTGAAGAGCCATTTTACTAAATTTAAAACACAGCCCAATGGATGAAATAAATTGAAGCAGCCAGCCAATCAAGTGTAAGACAAATAATGGTCCCTGGGGGCTTCTACCAGTCAGGAGGCCATAGCTGTGAGAGCTCTTTCTTTTATTTCAGTTCCTAATTTCCAATTTCAACCTCTTCAACATCAGAGCCTCTACTCCAGTTCAGTTCATGGGAGTTACCTCTGGGCCCCCAGGACTACATTAAAAAGAGATGTGCCCTGAATTATTTTTCCCATAACACTGTCAGATATAGCAGTCTATAGCATTATTCAGTTTTGTGATTAGTAATCAGCATTGCTGATACTTTTTTAGGGTAACTACACATCTGTGAGCTGTTAGTTAAAAGGTAACTTCCATACATGAAATTGTTTCTCTACGAGACATGTTTTAAATTCTAAATCAATGACTCACAAAATCATACACATTTATAAATTAGGGAATTATAATAGTCAACATAATTCAATAATGCCATTATAATTACACATTTACTTTACTATATAAGTGAATGTCAATCTGTTATGTTATTATGCAGATTTAAGAAACTGAACTTTCTAGGTTAATGAAAAAGTTGCAGAATATAATTAGTGACTATAATTATAGCAATGCATCAAAATATATGATTAGTTTCACCAGGTATTGTGGGGTTTGCTACAGTACAAATGCATAATAACAATTTAACATGAACTTTTAGAAATGTAATTATAATAGAAAATGTTTTGAAATTCCTTGATCTCTAAGGGATCTTAATTGTAAACTACCTAAAACTAATAATTCACTCTAAGGCTCCCTTACCCAGCATCTAACATCTGCCTTCCCCAGAACAAAAGCTTATTCAGTAAGAAGAATATCAAAGCAAGTTTCCTAAAAAGTTCAGTAAGTTGTTTGGGGATTTTTTTTTAAAAAATCACGTTTTATCCAAAATCTGTGTTTTGCTCACTTAACACATGATTTCATTTCTCCTCATAACACTAATTAGGCCTTCAATAACACGAACAGGACATACAATGTAAATTTCAGGTGCCAAATTTAATAGACATGGCAAACACATGTAAAAAGATTATGAAAACAGAAAATACTGTCTTTCTAGAGCAGAAGAACTGATAAATTCAGAACTAATCAGGAAGGCCTTTTTCATATGCACCAAAAAGTGACACCTCTAAAGGTTGTCACAACATAATGAACAGGTACTTTCGTCTATACTGTTTATACTGAGAGCTGTGTTCCCAACTTCGCAAACTGATGACCGTTATTTAAAATATGGGCTTCAGACCTCAAAACTCTGTTTTCAAATTCAAGTTATACATGCAGTTTTTATCAACAGCAAAAGGCATCAAAGCTGGCAGAACAACCTCCTTTTAAAAAGTCTTCCACTAATGAAATATGAAAAGCCACAGAAAGTTTAGCACATAGAACTGCACTATACTTAATTTAAAACACAAAGCGGAAAGAAATTTATCATTTTCTGAGACACCCTTCATCACCATGCCTGATTTCTATTTTCCCTTCTACCATTTCCCTTGCAAAAGAATATTTCACAGTCTTACCTAGAACATCAAGATCAAGGACGCGTGCTAGTTTCCTTGCACCATCAGCACCAAAAATATGAGTTCTGTGTTTACATTTTGGACACTGAAAAACACTCATATTTTGAACAAGGCCCAAAACCTAGAATAATAAAAACACATTGAAATCAAGACAAAATTAAACCAACTCTCAATCCATTTTTTTCAATATCTGTACTGTGTATGGGCTGGTTCTAGTGACACAGTGATAAAGTTATGGTCTCTGCTCTCAAGGAACTCACAAGCCAGTGGGAGAGCAAGACACACATATTACTTGTCATAATGTGAAAATGTTAAAGAAATATAAGTGATGAGGATAAAAAAAATTGTGTCTGAGGACCTGGCCGGGTAGCTCAGTTGGTTAGAGCATCTCCCTGATATGCCAATGTTGCGGGTTTGATCCCAAGTCAGGGCACACACAAGAATCAACCAATGAATACATACATAAGAGGAACAACAAATTGATGCTTCTCTCTCTCTCTCCCCCACCCCATCAATAAATAAAAATTTTAAAAATTATGTCTGGGAAGAATCAGAGGAATCTCTGAGTTGCCACAGAGAACTGTTTGTTCAGGTTGAGGGTGAGAAGAGGGGTTGAGGCCCATGGCAGGAATTCTAGGCAGAAGGAAGATTACCAGACAGAGGAATATAACTTGTGTGGCCTATCTGGGCTGCAGCCTAGTGGGGAGCTAAGGCAGAAACTGCTTTGGTAAGAAAGGTCAGGGTCGGATGGTAAGATGTTAAATGCTTTCCATGCATATGAGACTTTCTTCTTGAGGCAACAGAAAACCACAAAAGTTTTTTAAAGTTGAGATGATATTGAAGAGGTACTGTTATACAATCAGATTTGTGTTCCAGAAATTTAATTGTGATGGCAACATGGACAAAATAAGCATAAGAAACATAGAAAAATAAATAGTTAAGAGGTTAACTCTGGACAAAGCCTCATGGTAAATAATAGCTAACATATACTGAGTGCTTATTTTATGCTAGGTGCTGGGATAAGTACTTTAGATGCACTATTTTATTTACTCTTCACAAGAAGTTTATGAACTGGGTATTTTATCATCCCCATCTCTAGGTAAGAAAATTGACATAGCTAGCAAGAGTGAAACTTAGTTATCAGAATGTTATCATCTGAAACAAAAATTTAAAGTCTTATAGAAAGTATCCATCTCTTTCTGAGTTTCCCCAGCTTCTGGCACAAAGCAGATAACTCCATAAACATGTGTTGATAAATAGACAGGCCCTGCAAATATAATCCTTACTCGTGTTCCTTTTAATCCCACTTCTTATGGATGGGAAGCAGTGGTTCTCTTCCAGAATTAAAATGGGGCACATAACCGTCAGAGGCTTACGGGCAACAAGGTCCATGTCATCCTACCGATTCCACCTATGAAAGTATCATTATAGGAGATACCTCTATTAAACATTTACATTTTAAATGAAGAATAGCACCTACAGTCCACAATGAAACATATAGACAAGAAAGTGGTCAAATTTGTTATTCTTTCTAAAATGAGAAACAGAAAAGACTGAAAGACTAAAGTCTCCCACAACACAGGTAAATGAAGACAAATAGTGAGGGACATAAATATGTAGGTAAGCTTTTTCCAAGCCTCTAATATATGGCCTTTTGCTGATGCAAAGTATCATAAAAATAAATCACAGTGTGTTTTGGCAATTCATATCATCTTCAGAAGCTTTAAAAAAAGTTCACCTTAATATCACACAACTTACTTGTTTATTCACTCACTATGTCTATATATTATACTCATTGCTTGGGCAGTTCTACTGCCATTCATGTTAAATGGGATATATCCCCTGACTTAAACATAAAAATATCATTCAAGAAATGGGAATAGGAAAAAAAACAAAACACTTAAATAATGTGAAAATCTAGGTAAGGGTTGCTCCAATCCAGAGAGAATGGGAAAAGCATTCTTACTCTGGATTCTCTTAGACTTCCCAAGGCACAGAGGCTCGGAGCAACAGTTTATTTGCAGTTTGTGTGATTGAGTTCTTAGCATCAAATTGTTCTCTAAGGACTATGTAAATGTTGAAGACACATTCTCTATGGAGACTACATAAATGTCACAAACACGAAACTTTAACCCAACTCAGTTTCTATTATACACCAGTAACTGGGCTAAACAGCAGCAGCAGCATACAGTGGTGGGTAAAATGGACTGTATCTTTGCCTGCTTGGAGCCTGCACACTAACTGAAGAAAAGGATCGAACAAATAACAGTGCAAAAATCTACTTTAAAACTAGAACAGCTTGTCTGGAAGCAAAGCAACAGAGTTTTATTATGAGAGTGTAGCAAAGAGAAGACTGTCTGCCCTGGGAGTCACAGAGGACTTCCCTGAGGAAATGTATGACTTCAAAGTTAAAGAATAAGCAGACAAAAACAAGAAGAAAGGTAGGAAAATACTCAAGATAGAAGCAGGCAGCACTTGTCTCCTTCAAAGAACTGGAAGGTCAGTATGGGTGGGGCTCGGTGTGAGCAGCACGAGATGAGGCCACTTTAGGTGTCTGGGTCACATGAGTCCACAGTGAAGCCATTAAGGAGTTTTTAAGCAAGGGAGAACAGTAGTTGTAGTAGATTCATTTCTCAGGACAGCGGGGTTTTAAAAACATGGAATGGAAAACCTAAAAGGACTTGTCTTTCCATGCTTATTTTCTTAGACAAACATAAGTGCAGGGCTGTATTCTCTGAAATCAGTCACTTCAGAGGTGACAGTTTTTGGTGCTGTCTAAAATATTTCAGTTCTCCTCCTGGGTACAAGAAGGTTAGGATTTTTCTTCTTTGCAATTAGGTGAGGACATGCAACTTGTGTGGGCAATGAAAGGTGAGCAGAAGTGACATGTGCCACATCTAGGCAGAAGCTGTACATGCCAGTTCCCCATATTCTTTCCCTCTGTCCCTGTGACCTTAGCTTCCCAAAGCAGCTCTTCCATCAGTCTAGGTGCCAGAGAAAGAACAGTGCCGAGGAGGGTGGAAGCAAAACCATGACAGACATATAATAAGAGAGAAATAAACTGGAGTTTTCATCCACTGAAATTTGAGGATTGTTAGCACACACAATCTGACCCATTTGGGCTGATAAAGGGGTACAGGAAGAAAATATTAAAATTTCAATTTCTGTAATGATTTTCTTTTTAATTCCAATTTGGGGTATGTTTTATAGTGAAAATTGGTGCACTAACGTGTATACTATATATAGATACTACATATAATTTATTAAAAACAAATAAATATATGTTCAAGTATCATTTACTGATAAGGATGTATAGTCAAAAAAATCTGGAGATAATCCTCTGTGTGTATGAAATTCAGAGGTTTTGACAACTAAACTTGGCTCTATTACTGATAATACATAACTTCTGGTTTAAGGATAAGTGCCCTAATACTGCTTCCTAGGTTATCTTGGATAAACTAATTCCACTTCACTCTAGAATTCCCTCATCTTAAGAACTTCCCACACATACACCAATTTGCTTTAAAAAGGTTGTAAAGGAACACAGCAGAGAGTACAGACTCATACACGAAGTCACCAATTTACCATAAAGATATGGCATCACACCCTGGCTGGCGTAGCTCAATGGACTGAGCGTGGGCTGCAAACCAAAGTATGGCAGGTTCAATTCCCAGCCAGGGCATATGCCTGGGTTGCAGGCCATGGCCCCCAGCAACCACACATTGATGTTTCTCTCTCTCTCCCCCTTTTTCTCCCTCCCTCTCTTTTTCTCCCTCCCTTCCCTCTCTAAAAATAAATAAATAAATCTTAAAAAAAAAAAAGATGGCATCGCACTGCATGCTAGCTGGATATCCACATGGAAAATAAAGAATCTTAAGCCCCCATCTCACACTATACACAAAAATTAATTCCAGATGGATTAAATGTGAAAGGTAAAACAATAACGCTTTTAGAAGAAAACAGGAGAACATGTTATACACTTGGAGGCAGGAAAATACTTTTTGAGCAGGACACATCTAATCACTGAACATAAATGAATTTTTTTCTTGTGAAACTGGACATTAAAATTGATAACTTAATCAGAAGACATAAAGAATGAAAAGACAAGATATAGAAGAAGAGATGGTACTGATAATACACACAAATGACAAGGGACTTTTATCCAAAATATATCAAGAACTCCTACAAGTCCATAAGAAAAATTCAGGTAATGTAATGGGGAAATGGGCAAGAGACTTAATAGGGAATTCATAAAAGAGGATATTTATTTAGCCAATGTTTTCAAACTTCTTGGCATATAGTTCTTATAGTAATTTCTTACAATACTTTGTATTTCTGTGGTATCAGTTGTAATCTCTCCTCTTTCATTTCCAATTGTGTTTATTTGGGTCCTCTCTCTTTTTTTCTTGATGAGTCTGCTTAAAGGCTTGTAGATTTGGTTTATCTTTTCAAAGAACAAGCTCCTGGATTTATTGATCCTTAGAATTATTTCTTTAGTCTCTATGTCATTTAATTCTGCTCTGATCTTGGTCATTTCCTTCCTTCTACTTGCTCTGGGCTGTCTTTGTTGTTGTTCCTCCAGTTCTTCTAGATGTAGGGTTAGGCTGTTTATCTAAAGTGTTTCTATCTTTTTTAGGTGAGCCTGTACTGCTATGAACTTCCCTCTCAGGACTGCCTTCACTGTGTCCCATAGGTTTTAGACGGTTGCAAGTTCATTCTCATTTGTTTCCAGAAACTTTTTGATTTCTTCCTTGATTTAATTCTTAACCCATTCCTTATTTAATAGCATGCTATTCAATCTCCATGAATTTGAGTGTTTTTGAGTTTCTTCCTTGAGGTTGGTTTCTAGTTTCAGTCCCTTGTGGTCAGAGAAAATGCTAAAAAACAAACAAACAAACTATGGTACATTTACACAATGGAATACTATGCAGCAGAAAGAAGGAGCTCTTACTCTTTGTGACAGCATGGATAGAACTGGAGAGCATTATGCTAAGTGAAATAAGCCAGGAAGTGAAAGACAAATACCATATGATCTCACCTATAAGGGAACCTAATCAACAAAACAAACAAGCAAGCAAAATACTACCAGAGACAATGGAATAAAGAACAAACTGACAGTAA